TGAAGAGACGGAAACTACCTAATAGCAGATACCCGCAGTCGCCTAACAGCTCAAAGGTTTCCCCGGGTTGTCAACTTTGACGTAGCTGAGCAACCGTAGGTAAGCTTGGAGCATCATGGAACACCGAGTGTGCGGCCGTGCAGTGGGAAACTCCCCGTGAATCTCTTGGGTGGCAATGACTCAACTATGGATTCCACAAGGGATCTGGTGTTTTCGAATCTGCCAGCGACGCCTACAGGTGGTGTGCTCAAAAGACGACTGAGAAAGGGCTTATTTTCCGCAAAAAATTGTCTTGCCCTTTATGGCTTCCAATAAGTGCTTTCGCTGCTTCCCCGCCGAGAGTGTTCAGCTGTCCTGTATCGCACCTTTTTTCGACCTAGCAATGCAGGACTCACCATCACTACGGTCTGCATTTAGTAGCGCGCGCCGTTGCATCGTTTCAGGCCAAATTGTCTAAGACACGTCATGGGCTTGATCCTGGTGAATTGCTACCGTTTATTTTCTGAACGAACAATCACCCCTAATTATAACATGTACAGTTTCATTGACACAGAAACTCCCTATCATAAATTTAGTGGGTGCCACAGCTTTGTCTTGCGCTAGCCTTAATTCTGCAATTAGATGGACCCCTCAGCGACGTTACAGAGCACAGAGTTACTCTGGCTGTTTCACCAGCCTGCTACGTTGACAAAGCCCAAACGGTGCACCTCCTTTGACGCTTGAGTACATGGTTGCATACTCGCAGGATTTATGGCCACAAAGGTATATAAAAGCCAAGGAAGGCATGCTGATGCCCCAAAACCCTTGGTTGATGTACCTTGTGTTCCCCAAGAGCTATGCCACTATTCCCGGAATTTCGCGTGTCTTCAAACAATATGCATATTACGGTCCTGTATTGGCATTTTTTAGCCACAGCACTCTTCATGCAAAGTAAAGTGTGAGCCAGAAGCATTCTGTCAAAACAGCAGTCACGCACGCCACCACCCGACGCATATCTGACAGGATGCAGACAAGGCACCACCAGGAATCTCATCGTGCCATCCTCTACACTCAGGTTGCATGAACTCAAACGGACCAATTAATAGCACCGAGACGAATCAAAGTTTATTAGATACACAAAAATGAAAGCCCGAAACAACCGCTTATGTTAGTTGCCCCCCTTTGTAGACACATTGTCAACCAGTGCTTCCTGCGCATGCAAAAAGCTTGAAAGCTCCACCAGAGGGTGCCCACAGAGCCAAAAAGCATACAACAGGAAGCACGACAGCAGAGAACGCCGTGGTGCGTTAATTTGTATCCCTTTACGTGGTACCTGGAGGGCTCACAAAACAGTGAAAAAGGACTTCGACACCTTCACTCCTTGCCATGGTAAAAACGTTCGCGCAAAGCTGCTACGATTCCCGCTTACGGATGGCTCTCCTTTGTGTAAGCAGAAACAACTTGCTGGTATACATGTAAGTTTGTGTGCAAGTATGTATATGTTTGTGTTTGTGTGTGTGTGTGTGTATATGTATGTAAGTACGCATGAATATCTTTCTGCTGCTCACACTCTTTGGTGCATATTGGGGTGCGGTAGTCCAAGGCCCGCTTTGTCTTGCAGACAAACGAGCGCATGCGAGAGCCGATTAGCCCAATGCAATCGTTGCCGCTCACCTAGAACAGAAAGAATCACCGTATTTCCCCGCAACGTCTATCTCATGTAAGTTTAAATGCCTCGCATTTGCTGATTTCCTGGTCTCCGCCCACACTAATGCCGTTAAGTCGCATCTGTTTACATATATTCTGTTGTCGGCAAAGACAGATATTTTGTCATCTTTCTCTTGCATATTTCATAGCTTCCTTTGTCCTGTTCTGGCGGCCATACACTTACCAAGCATAAGACAAAACCCTTGCACACTTTTTCCCCCTTTTGATGGGACTCTCTCAGGAACAAAGAATCGCTTAGAGCGCATTAGCGGCACTACATAGAACTGAGTTGCAAAACTTGCCATTTACATAGTGCGTACGGCGCCACATTGCTGCAACATAGAGATTGCCGCACCAAACGCACCATACGCGCAGATTGCTGTTCCTTGATTCCCTTATCGAAAATTTTGCGGGTGCGTAGCCATTTGAGAGGTAGCTCTTGCATTCGGAACTAGGACTGAGGATTTGCGGGGCGGGCGTGAGCATGTGGATCCCAAAGCGCTAGAAGCCTTAAACTTAACAGAGGGACGTGCAAACTACACGAAGGCCAATACAGGTTTGGGATGATTTTACAGGCTCTTACGGGGTAGGCCTATGGTTTAGGGCCCCTTGCGAGCGGTGGTAGCCAATGCATATGTGTAGATGTGACATTGGAAGAGACACTTAGCTGATGTGCTGAAGTAGAGACACTAAATAAGCTTGTACCCCGCACCAAATATAGCGGATAGAAACTTTTGTGTTTCAAGGGATGCGCTTTGCTCACATGCCTTTGACAAATGTAGTTTCATACATTTTAGCGAGCTACGCTACGCTTCAGTATTCTCTACTCTGCTTCTTAAATTCGATCGCGAGGTAGAGGAGACATGAGCGCTGGGTAAGGCTGTTCATAATCTTATTCGCTGCATAATAGAGTGAGTTCAACATGATAGGAGTCAATGGTGTGTGCTCGTGTGCTAGATGCTATGTGCAACTGGTCATCAATTTCCGGCTTGCAGAGAGACAGCTGGGCAGCGCGCAGCCCAGCTGTCTCTCTGCCGTGATGCCGGAACCCTAAGGAGCAAGGACTAAGAAAGAAGAGAGCCCTCTTCAAAGGGTACTTCCTGATTTCTGTGTTTTGTATTGGGTTTAAGGCCAAGTGTCTCCCCACAGAGACCTTCGCTGGGGCTTTAGAGATCCGGCGTACTTGCTTTCGGGGCCAGGTTACTTTGTTGGAGGGAGAACACATCAAGATGGCGTGCATTCAGGTGCTTGTCGTGGTGCTTCACCTAAAACTGCCCTTATTAAGGCAGTAGCTCCTTGGCCGCATCATGGCAATCCGTCAATTCGGCCTTTTAACGGTAAAGGACGCAGCACTGGCTTACACGACTTGCTGCGCCTACCAGGAAAAGTCTGCGACTCCTTCAGGCTAAACTTTTAAACCGAACCAAGGCACATAATCATGGCGACACCAGAGGTACCCACTTCTTTGGCTGCATCCAAGCAGCACAAGTGCCTGCCGTTCCGTTCTGCAGCAGTAGTGAATGGATTGCAGGCTGAAGAACCGAAGTAGAGTTAATGTACAGGCGAAATCCATCACACTAACCTCCTTGGGTGCGCATATTGACTCTATCATAGATTCTACAGTGAAAGTGGGAGTGCATCACACTATTAGAACGTGAATTGTGAGCTAGTAGCCCACAGTTGGTGACCTTGCACCATATGTGGTCGCTTGCCCTGACCAAAAACGGTTATTGATGGATGCATGTATGTGTGCATAGCTTATGGACTGTAAAACCTACTGCTACTGATGTAAGTGCTACGGTGCGGTGCTTATAATTTTTGCCACCGTGGGCTCGCACAGATATAACACGGTCGTGGCGTACTAGCTCTCCCGCTGCGCGCCTCTCAGGCTTTCTCATCCACATGTATATACTATTGGCGCCGCTTTCCACTTTGTATGGGGCACTGTTGCCGCTACAGCATGCTCCAGTTCTTGCAGTAACGCCAGCACAAGACTATCAAGCCAACACCACGAGCCTACTACTATTTCGTTTCATATGTATCAAGTCAAAGGAAGCCCGTTTTTGCAACTTCTCGCAGAGGGCCCCTGTTGGCACATTTTGTTGCCTACCTTTGAGTGGACGAATTAAAACTCTCCAAGAAGGCACCGCTATGCCACCTTCTACCAAAAGCTTTCGGCTGAAATTCTAGATGACAGATTCCGCTTCTCTGTACGAGGAGAGCTGTGGGATTCCTGGTGCCATCCTTCTCCAACAGTATTTGGTCTGCTCCGCCAAAAGTGTATCTGTTCAGCCTGTAGAATAACGGAGGCAGTTTTGCTGCTGGAAGGCTACTATGTAGATTTCGCGCTTTCACCTCTTTGAATCTATTACGTTGAAGGAACCTTTACGGACTGCTGGAGTCTACCAGGTGCTATCCAGGCTCGATGTAAGTGGTAGCCCTCACGTAAAAGAAGCAGCGGCACCGAAAATCCTAGGCTTTGAACCATGAATTCGTGCACAGCCTGTCATGTATGAAGCAGCTAATTGAGGCATTCACCATCTACCCAATGTGAACATTGAATCTCCGATCATTTCTTCCATGAGCAACTGCATGATCCCTTGAAACAAGCACAAGTTCCTCAGATGGCAGCAGTACTACAGAGATGCCACGCATTTCAGCTTCAATGCACTACGCTTGCGTACGCACCGATGTAGATTGACGGAGACTAGTGTCACAAGCGTTCAACTAGCACAACTTATGAGCAATGATGAAACTCTTTTTTGTGTATACGCATGTTCATGTTTGCATATTATTCCATTTGGGACTTAACTACTAATTACTTAACATATCCGGATTACTTAAAGAGAAAAGAAAAAGCCACGTGCATAAGCTGTTTGCGCATCCAGCCATCTCCGTGAACAAGATTTTCACTCGGCTGGGGTGCATGTGTGCCACGAAAAGGAGGAATGGACTAAGATTCCTCAAAGGGACAAGGTAAGAACTGTATCCTTGATACTCACCGTAGACAACTACTATTGATCATTCAAAGGACGAATCTGAAGAATCAAGAACCCCCTTCGAAAATCTAGGCAGGTCGAACACGTAACCTTAAAAGCAAAATAAACACATCTGTGGGTCCCCATGAACAAAATTCATCCCTGTGTTCTTTATCCGAGAGGTTCAGAGACTTCATCAAGATGGTCATATAAAGGACCTCTGATCTGCATGCAGTAGCAGGGATAACCATGCCAGCAATACAAACAACAAAGATATAACCAAATGCAGCATCATCAGTAGGGAACGCAGTTTTCAGCGGTTGGTGCTGAGTCCTATCAGGTCTCAATGGAGGCCGTCAGGGCACGACTTCCCTCCGGTTGCCCTGAAGGGATCATTTGTACTGCTAAATCCGCTGAAAGACCCTTCAGTTTGTGCCTGTGCACTTCAACAGCCTGTTCAATTCGACTTTTGACTGCCTTTTCCCCCTCCTCCTGTGCCTCCTCCCCCCATATATTATACAGGGAAACGACAAGGCGGTCTAGTAGTGGTCCCTGTTCTTCCGTGGCCTCATCGAATGCCTTTAGGAGGTTTTGGTAGTTATCGTACTTGGGGAGGGCCTTTGCAATATCTGAGTTATTCAGAAGGGTGGCGAGGGCACCCGCTGCTGCCTGCTGCGCCCGCGGGTTGTTTGTCTCCAAACAGAAAGCCAGAAGTAGTCTGAGGTCTTGTACATCTGCTTTACCTGCAGTCTTGCCTCCCAAAAAGTCCTGCACTTTGCTGCTGCCAGCCAAGTTGCACCACCCTTCAAGCGCTGCAGCCCGAAGCAAATCGTTCTCGCTAAAGAGGAGGTTCCCTAAGAGCCTCCAGGCGTCCCCTGAGAATGCTCTCTGCCTTAGTTCTTCGTTTACAGACGTAAGGTTGGTGATTGCGAGGGCCCCTTCGTACTGCAGAAGCTCATAGCTGTCCGAGAGCAGTGGTAACACAACCGGAACGAGATCTAGAGCATCATGGTAGCTAAAGAGGGCGGGGTTTACAGATATACATAGCTGAGCAGCTGCCTGCTGAAGATCTCTCTTATCTTCAGGGTAGGTCTTGAGAGCCCCAATCGCCGTTAGAAGAGCCCTTAGTGCCCCTTCTTTGACAAGTAGACCTCTGTTCTTCTCATTCTTTGCAAGGAGGAAGAAAGAGCTGCCCGCGGCTAACAATACATTGGGAGAGGGCAAGGGTTTCGCCGTACAAGCCCTTACCAGAAGCTTGCATGCGCCCCGCTCTAGCAACACCTGCCGGAGTGAGCACACGCTTGCTTCATCCCCAAGATCTATTTGCCCATTTGGAACAGGCTTTGCCTCCGCAGGAAGCTGGTCGTAGAATGCCTCCAGCTCTTCTAGCTGCGATTCATCTAAGTCCACGCCACCGTGCAAACCTCTTTGCTTCCGACATCTGTCTTTATCGGCACTAGACTTCATCAGATTGCACAGGCCACCACATAAAAGATACCGAGGCAAACTTCCACTGTTGCTGCAGAATTGAGCACCTACATCCAGCACCGCCCGTAGAAGGTCCTTTGAGCCGGTCGGAAAATTTGCGAGCTCCACAAGCTTGGACTTGAACTCTGCATGTAAACTCAGGAAGAAGAACAGCTCTAAAACACATCGGGCGAGGTCGTCATCCATTCCCTTCTTGTTTTTCCCCGGTTGCTGCTGCCGCTGTAGAAGCTGCTGCAGGAGCTCCTCTAGGAGGATGAAAAGGTTGACCCGCTCCAATACCTCTTCTTTAACGACTTTGCTGTGCACACAAACTCTCGCGAGGGCGACACCCAACTTCGCTCTGAGGGCCTCAGGGCGTGTCTCGTCCCGCAATAACTTGAGGATCGCATCAACCCCACTGTCGTCCAGTAGCTTCTGTCGGAGCTCCAAGAAATCAAGACATTGCAGTATCAAAGCAGTGGCCGCCTGCTGCTGCTGATGCTGTTGCCGCGTTCCCGAAAGACCTGCTGCTGCTGCTGCTTCACCCGTTGCAGCAGACAGAATATATGGTAATAGGGAACCTTGCAAGATGAAGTCTCTTGCTGTCTCTCTATCTGCAGTCATGAGGAACAGCAGGGCCTTAAGACCCACGTAAGTCTCCGCCTGTTTATTTGGATCTTTGCTATGGCAACAGGACAGGAACGGGGACAGGAGCTGGTCGGCGAGCCGCTGCATGTCTACTCCATCTGCCTCGGCTCTTTCTTTGTCTCCCAAAAGCCTCAAGAGAGTCACCACAGTGAGCTCGATATTTCTTTCCATAGCTTCTAGTTCCACTGCCTGCCCGCCACATTCCGCCTTGTCCACAGCAGCAGAGAGCAGTGCCAGTGCTGCTTCCAGACATCTCTCTACCCCGTGCCTTAAGGCAAGGGCCTTGGCCTTCAGGCCTAGGCGCCGCCGGGCGTCAGCAGCACCTGAAAGTGCCTGCAGAGCAGCTAGCTGTACAGTAGAGGCCTCTGCACAATCAAGAGCTGAAGAAACTGCTTCTAGGAAAGAAGCGTCATGCTCGAACGACTCAGATTCGCTCTGTTTCGAATGTCCAAAAACCCGCAGTAAGAATGCAGCGCTCAGCCCACGCCAACGGCGGGGGTCAATTCCTTTGTTGTTGCTACTGCCAATGGTGCCATCGGCTGCAAATACAGAGGCAAAATTGTCTGCTGGAGGATCGAGGAGGCCTTGTCTCTGCAACCTTCTGAAGGTGAAAAGAAGCTCCTCTGAAGTCCAGATTCTCCGGAGAGCGGTCCGGCATGCCTTAATGTGTGGAGGAATGCACAGCGGTTCGTTAACCTTAAATAGTACCTTCTCCTCTGAGGATGCACTGCTGGTGCACCCGTCGGTAGTGGGCATACCTAACGGACTGTACTGCACCAAGGAAGACAGCAATTCCCACCCTGCTGCTTCGACGACAGCAGGAACAGGAGCATTAGAGACAACAGGCGTGGTGCCAGCAGGAACTTGCGCAAAATCAGCAGCAGATGCTGCATTTGCTGCTACATTTTGCTGCTTTAGGAAGACGGCAAGCCGCTGCAGCAGCCCCTCCTTGGCGAGGGTCTCGTGCAGGGACTCTCTTTCTTGAGCCAATCTTCCGAGATCCCTAAACGCCTTAACTCGTTTCTTCTCCGCTGCTGTTGCATCCACTGCGGTGTCTAACAGGGTAGAGGGCATTCGGCTTTCCACATGTTGCTGCTGTTCCTGCAGTGCTGCCTCATTAAGTTTCATGAGCAGCCTCGCACCTTCTGCATTCTTCGGATCGATCCGCAACAACCGTCTTGCGGCAGAAGCGGAGGCCCCCAGATCTCCCAACTGCAGTAGAGCGAGGGCCTGTCTGTAAAGAGCTTTGCTATAGTCCGGTCGGATCTCGAGCGCGGCTCGACTGTCTGCCTCAGCCCCACGCAGGTCTTGCTGCTTCAGACGACACATCGAACGATTGCAGTATGCAGCAGCCAGAACGCTCTTCACAGGTTCGCAGTACGGGGTGGCCTCAGAAGGGAATTCTGAAGAGGCCTCACTTCCTAATTTCTCAGCTTGCTTGCATGCATCTATGCACCTGGAATAGGCCGCTGCAGCGGCAGAGAAGTCTCCATCCTTAAAGAGGCGGTTGCCTTCCGCTTTGAGACCTTGAATTTCAGAGGATGAGACGGTGGGTGTTGCTGCAGCAGCAGCATCAGCATCGCCAAGCGGGCGGAGGGATGCCATGTTGCAGATGAGTGCCCGATAGTGTGGATGCTACTTGCTGCGCTGATTGGTCTGAGTTTGACTTCCAGCTGGTCTGTGTATGCGCCTTAGTGATGATGTTTGTATTACATGAAATGCCACCGAACTGGTCCGCAGGCAAAATACGCTGAGATGCACTCAACTTCAGGGATCTTCGCATCACCAAGGCTCCATGATGAGACTGGCAGCAGCCTCGATTTTCCGCCTTAGTAAAAAATAACTAAGAGAAGGAGCGCAGGCCTCTTTCTAGGGGTTGAATTGTCGACAGGCAATTTGAGTCGAAGGCAATCAAATAACCAATAATGCCATACCACCAACCAAAACCATCTAAAGATTCAACAAAAAAAAGTTCGAGAATGGGAATAAAGGGTACATGTCTCCTTTTATATTTGTCGTCAAGGTGAGAGCAATCCGATATTCAGTGCAATGGCAGCCAACGTGGAAAAGGCCAGCGGAAAACCTCGATGGAGCGGGCTGCGGCAAAGTATATGAAAATTCCTTCTTTTTTCCAAGTGCTCTCTTGTAATGAGTCTTTAATGCTTAAAAATTCGAATGCAGCCAGCTTTTTTATTTAGTTGGCGGAACACTCTCTCACATGCAAGGGAGCAAACTCGACTGCTCTGCGTGCATGTTTTCGGTTTCTGCAATTGCCCCCAATTAAAATGTGTACTGTATCGAATCCCCCAACGATCTCATTCCGAGACATCGCAATCACGGGCTTTGTGACGGCAATCGTAGGATTTCGCTGGCCAAATTAAGTACGTGTGTAGTGCAGCTGCTACGTAGGCCTTCTTCTGTCCCCGTAAGGAGATACTTGGCCCCCAACCCCGTACAAACGTGATAGGATACCATTGAATGCTATCCCGAAGAGGTCTCTTACTCCCATGCCCCTACTTCGCATAGCTTTGATGTGAGGTGTCAGGGACAGCGGGGTTCCGCATGGCTGCACCTACTACGCACTCTGGGAGTTCACAGCTAGTTGCATTGCACATAGCATCCAGTGCACACGCACACAGCGTGCCTAAATATATCGACCCAAAATAACTCCGAAACGAACAAGCTAGAAAACAGGCCAATCAATTTGCGAACTGTTTCCGTACTCTAGGTGTAAATATGCCTAGTGAAGTAGGAAGTGCGTAAGTGCAGCGTAGTCTGCTACATCTTCCACGCACAATATGAAAGCCCACGCCCTCGTATTCGGTAAATGTACAACCAGACTAAGTCCATTCATGACTAGAGGAAAGTTCCTGCCACTTCGCGACTCCCCTTCCACGCAGAAAAGCAATAACAGTGCTAATAACAAACGCTAAGCGGACATCAACCATTAAAGTAGAATCGACGGAAGAAAAGTCACACCTCCAGCTAGGAACAAACAAGAGACCAAACCAACACGACTTTGGCAACGCCTTTGTTAAAAGCTGTCGGATCACAAGATTGTCAGCCTCCAGCTATGAGACAACAGACGACAAGCAAAACGTGTAGGGTGAATCAAAAAAGACAATTGTTCATCAGTGCCTCCACGCCTGATAGAGCAGTCCTTGCAGGCAAGTACAGCTGATTTATGCAGCGTAGTCAATTGCAAAGCCGCACAAGAGGCCAAAGGACTAATGTAGGGACAATACACCGGAGACTGCCTGTAAATGTAGTTGAGTTCCGAGGGCACCTTGAAGATAACAACTGGTCACATTTCATGCAGTGCGCATACGGAAAGCTAACCATGTCGGGCAGAGCATGCCTTATGGAAAGACAGCTACAAAGAAGAGCACCGCGTAGGGCGCGTGGAGCTGTTAACCAAGCAGAGCCGCAAGACCTTTTCACATGCAGCGACAATCGTGACTGCTTCTTCAGACGCAACTGAGGCTAGTAGTGCTTACCCCAATTTCCTAGAAATTTCCGTGTACTGTGGCCACGGCACTCGATTATCTTAGGATACAGCAATTCCACGGTTCCTTGTAGAACCTCCGTCTTTACTCTGGCCATTTTCCTGCGCGGCGGGAGTGTGTGAATAATGGCCAAGAAAAAGAAAATCCCCTAGAGAGCCAATATTTATACCCCATGGAGACCTTCCAAAATCAAGATTCCGACGGGTTACGAACAAGCGCTATTTTGTAGAACGATGGCAAGTGGTCGTAGCCATCTGGCCGCAAGCCTCTTAGTCTGGTCTCCTTCGTGCGCACTTCGGAGAACCTGTAGTCCATCACAACCAAGTGTCTTTGCTTAAAAGGCACAGCGTATCGCCACCTGTCAGAATGCCGTGCTTGCCTCAGTTTGGAATTGCGCGTACATTTGCGTGCACTAGCTAGTGGTTCTCCATATCCGTCCACTCCGAAGTATGGCCGTTGACTCCGAGCCATGAGCTTCAGACTTAGTTAGGAGAGGGAAGCCTCATTGTAGACCAGCAATGCAGAAGAGAAGCGAAAATACAAGCATATTGTTGTTTTACAAATCCACTGAGCATAAGGAAACACATCGTCAGGATATTGGATTTGTGTAATCAGCGAGCTTGAAATACTGCGGAAGCAGGTGGTAGGTTCGCTGGGTGTGTCCATCTGCCTCATGATGGTTACCAGTGACCATGCTGTGGTCAGTGCTTAGGTTGGTCAAAAAGGCACGTCAGTACACAATAACAAATATCAGATCCCTACCGTCACTATCCTCCCGAAGAATCACTGCAGGCTTCAGAAATGACGCAAGAGTACGCGAATGACTTCCTGTGCAATGACAGAGCGGCAATAACGAGTGAAGCAGGCAAGGTTTCGGAGTGTGTTGACATTGATGCAGATTCTATCGTGGCGCTTGATCTCCGGCAGTGATACAGTATAATCGGTATCTGAGCAGTTTAGATCCATCCAGAAGGCGGAGGGCTTTGCGAAGGGCAGGTCTTTGAAAAACTCGTGGGGCTTCAGCTGCTGACACATGCTTGACATGACAGCGCAAACTGTTCCGCTGCAAGACGCGACCTTTTCTACTGCAGACCCAGGCCAATACAAAAGCCATAAGAGCTTTCCCACTGTCCTGTACATTCCACCGTGATCCCCCCAAATTCTCTTCTATGCTTTCTGCAACAAGGCACCGCGAATTGAAGTCGGGATGCACGAACGACGGACTCCCCTCTTCGTATCGAACAATATTAGGCCTCCTGCACCATGTTTGTGGCTCACCCGTGTGCCATTCTAGATTTTGGCAATAGTAGCGGATGCAGAAGTGACGAAAGTAGAGGACTCCCGCGATTTCGCTGCCCCATGCATCGTCACAAGGTGCTGCGCTACACAATAGTGAAGCGCGTGTGGGTAGTGAGAGTGCGTCGACGCCCACATTGATGATAGCCTTAAGATGCTTCACTCTAAAGTTGTACTGCAGGAAGCGTCCAAGCCAGGGAAACCTCCTAGGATTATCAAAGGTCTAAAAGCTCCCCATAAAATTTATTAGACTGGGGGTCTGTTTGGACAGTCGAAAAAGCCCCATATACACAGTCTAGGCATTTTTGACGCCCCATTACATTCCGCGTAATTCCCCTACCCCTACTGGATACCGGTTCCGGTGAAGTGATAAGAAAAATAGGCAACAGTTTGGTATTTTTGAGAGCCCGTATCTCATTGAAAGAGAATAGCACTTATCGCTACAACACTAGCAACAGTTGCAGCCGCTCGGAAGAAATGACGCTTGCAGTAGGCCAGCACGAATTCGCGAGAAGCCAGTCTCCTGTTGTGCGTCCAAGCTGGGTCCTTGCTGTGGCATCAGTGTTCTCCGCCCAGCTCCTAAACTGCCTTTTCATAAGTATATCAGTCAAAGAAGCATCGATCTCAGCAAATCCAGGAAGGAAATCTCGGTAATACGAGGTATGCCGACGTTGTTGTGGATGAGTACAAGTAAAGGCCACCGCTTGACTGCTTCAAATTTTGGCGAATCCGGCTGAATTCCTGCGGCCAAAGTGCGGCATCCCAGAAAGATAACTATTCTAAGGAAAAAAGTAACGCCTGAGTGGCTTCGCATCTAACTGTTTGTCCGGCAGCAACTGAAAGCCACGCTCCTAGTGCTGTAGGTGCCTTTGAGCGGTTCGTCTGAAGATTAAGGAGTCTTCTCTCTAGACAGTCATCCAACCCTTCTTGATAGGTTCATCCACATGGCGATAACTTTGCCGTTATGCATCATCTGAAGCCTTGGCTGGACAGGATAATGCACAGGTTTATCGTGGAAGTTTGGTATGCTGCTTGTGCGCCTGTCATGAACGCGAACTGGTACTTGCAAGAAAGCATCTATGCAGTTAAATGCCGATTCCACTACTTCAGCATGCGGCTTTTCAAAGACCCAACCACTTCAGGCCATCTGGAACTTCTAGCTCACAGTAAATCGTTCGGTAGCTTTGAGTTAACGCATATGCGCCACATCCCGTCCTCTCCAGGCACCACCACTGGGTTTTGTCCAAAGGCAGTGGGAGATTCCTACACTCTCCCTATTTTCAACAAATCCACTGCCCCCCGCTAAATCTTTTTCTCCTGCCATGAGGTTGCCAATGCCACGGATTCTAGCTAGGGCAATCCCCGAGGAATAACTGAGCACGGTGCGGTGGACGACCAGCAGGTGCCCAGCCTGCTGGCCGCTCGTCTTCATTTAGCACATCTGAGAACCCTCCTTAATAATTGATCATTCTTGCTGAACCCCAGCTAAACGAAAGACAGAATTTCCTTCACAAAGAACCTGTCGCAGAGCAGCAAGACGGAATACACGTTCAGAGCCCTACACCGCTGCTGAGCAGCCTGCATGAAAACTCTGCCTCACCTTGTTGAGGTACCGAGTTCACCATGGAAGTCACGCACCATGTTGGTAAAATCCAAATGTGATTCAAACTAGCTACTCATCTGCCCTGGCCTTGCCAATCCTTGTGCTCTGCTGCCCCGTCACAATGCCCGAGCCATAGCAACTGCGCGAACAAGCGAAGAGGTAGACTGCTCTTCTACATCGACTCTTCAAATAGTAGATCC